CTAACATTTTGGCCATCTTTTAATTTTGTATTTTGTTGATTGGTACTTTTCTAAATTTTAAAAATTTTGCCTCCCCTAAATTCTGCTGCCCAGTATCACCGCACTAGCTCTGGCGTTGATCTTGGGCTTATCTGAATAACAAATCAGTTATTCTCAATTCAAACAGCACTAAATGTTTTGGCCTATGAATATCATTTCCAAAACCTTTTTTTTCGTGTGTACGTGTGAAAGAAATTTGTGTTAAATTTATCCTCATGAAAACACTCAACCAGGGTTCATAGTGGTCCTTACAAGTGTTTATAAGTCCTTATATTCGGAAAAAAAAATAAAAATAAAAGCCTTTATAGGTGCTTTCTTTTTCTCTAAAGCACTTATTTCTTTGTTTTTAGTGCTTATTTTTGGCTTTTAGTGCCTATTTTTTTTTTTTTTTTTTTTTTTTTTTTTACGAACGCAGGTTTTTCCCAGTTACAAAGCCGAAACTAAATAAACAACTTATTTTCCTTATATGGAGCGTCAGATGGTCAATCATACTCCCAGAAATAGCTTTTCGCCCCTTTCTTTGCATTAACATAACCTTTGATGCGCGCGAGTACAGACAGTAATAATTTACATTCTCATTCCGCATGGTCAGTTCATATTCACATTTATTATGATCGGTATGCTTATATTATGAGTATATGTATGAATATTTATAATAATGTATTTGCAGTAACTGCTGAAGTATAGATAAACTTCAAAAATGGGTAAGTGTGTTTTAACACAGATTGGTTTTCTAAGGAATAATATTTGGAATGGCATAAATAAAGTGAAAGTAATTGAATAGTCAAAATACTCTTTTTTTTTTTTTTTTTTTTTTTTTTTTTTTTTTTTTTTTGCCAATGCATTATACAGTACGGAAGTTGGGAGTTCTCCCCTTTCTCCGCAAAATATTAAATATTGAAACCGTTGCAGTCTGCAGCAAAGCAAGCAACGGACTTTTTCTCTTTTGGTCACTTTTCAACCTGAATTGAATAGGACTAAATGTTCTGCGGTCTACCAACCCAAGCGAAGAATAATTCTATTCCGGAAATTTAATGCAGTCTGTTCAAAATTAGAATGAAAAACACCCCAGATTGGTAAATCTATTAATCAATATGAGTACGTCAGGGATATCGTGCGGAGTGCAACGTGTCCTGCTCAATAATAAATATGCCACGTGGGCGCATGATGGTGAAAACCGGAGGAAGCAAAGGGAAGTTTTCCTTTATTTAGTTATTTATTCTCCGAAAATGGGCAGCTGTTTATTCCGATTGCGTAATATCAGGCGAGGAAGAATTAAGGCACATGTATTGTGCAATAGCGTTTGCGATATTTCACAGAGATAAGATAGTTTTACTGTGCTTGCTAAAGTAATTATTTTTTAGTTCCATTGGGTTATTTTTTATATGGTGCACATATTGAAATGTCAAAAGCATTATTTAGCTGAAAACTATAATGAACGGCTTCAATCTACCCCCTTCCTCTTTATCAGTTACGCTCGATTATCCGAAATTTTCAGATATTCGGCAATTTCCGAGTATGCCGGTTAGTTAAGCTTTTACTGTTAAAGAATGACTGCATGAAGCAATTTCCCATCTTCTGATTCCAGGAAAGTTTCTTTTCTTACTTATTTTTACTTAAATAACTTTGCTTGCAATATCTGTTAAGGGAAAACTGTTATACAATGAAAATTTAGAAAATATTCAGAATTTTGATTTAAGTTAAATTATTTAAATATTAATATGAGTGGGAAAATATATTGTATTTATTTTTAGGTGCCAAGCGAATATAATAAATATGGCTTATTATTATTATTTATTTTCTCTATTTTGAACTGAAATTTCATCATTAAATCTTGTAATATAATTTAGTTTAGCATAGTTTTTTTTATCCTTCATTGTAAATTAGTTCTGTAAATTGAACTGTTATTTAAGATAAGAAAAAGAATGTAATTGTTTTCCATGGTTGAGTAATGGTCATTCTCTCTTTTAAGATTATGCAGTTGTGTATAATGTAATTAGACAGGTGCTTATTTTTTTTTTTTTTTTTTTTTTTCTTAAAATGTGCCTGAAAAGTGCTTATTTTTTTAACTAAAATGTGCTATGAACCCTGTCAACACTTAGCAGGGCAGTTAGCTTAAGTTTGTTATAGTTGCCAAGCATTAACATAAAAGGTTACCATGCTCAATTACTAATATTTTATGTAAAAAAATTGTTAAAACATCACTTACCGAGTCATTTCTCAAATTGCTGCGTGTTGATAGTTATGCAGTGATGAAAGCAAAATAATAATTCACCAGGACAGCATGAGGAATAAAAATCATTCGATAGGCTTAAAATCAAGGATGTTTCAATGTAGTGTTTTTTTTGGGGGGGGATGTATGCCTAACAGAAAAGCAATTATGGAGCTCTAAATTATTGCTTGTTTATTTATGAAACAATGATTGTTTCTTCTATATGCAAGTATTTTATTTAGTGCCAAAGTGAAATTAAGAGTTAGGCCTCTCCACATGTTTTATTATGAAAAAATATCAAATGTGCATGCATTTAGCATATGGGAAAAATATTCTAGAAGAGAGGAGGAAAAGGTTGGTGGTGGTTGGAAGTCCAGATTGTAGATCATTTCAGGTATTGGACATCCAGATTTTAGGCATTGTACCATATGAGCAGTTTTTGACTGTATCCTAAATTTAATTGAACTAACTACTTAGTAAGTTGAAAGCTTGACATCACAGTAACCAGAACTAAATTACTAATTAAAAGTTTAATTAGATAGTCTTAGATTGAATAATTTATAAATCTTTCTTATTTTGTAGTCATTTTCATCTGAAAAATGTATTTACAAAACTTATTTATGATATTATGAGTATATGTAATATTGTATTAAAACACATTGATATTAGTTATAAGTTTAATTTTTGAAATATGAGGATTTTTTTTATTTCTTATAAGTTTTCCGTTCAAGCACAGTGTGCCTGCATAGGTTCATTCTACTTTTTTTGGGGGGGGAGATCTGATTATATTCAAGTATTTATCTTGTTCATAAACCAAGCAGAACCCTTTTTTTTTTTTTTTTTTTTTGTCAGCTTTTCATGACTTTAATGAACTTAAAGTGAGAAACCTATATGGCTAAAGGTCTAAATTATAAATGAGGGATCTCTTACTTATGGGTATTCTGTTTGTCCTGAACAATTCAGTCATAGCAGCTTGAAGAGATGCATTGTCGCACTGTGATATGCTGCAGTATTTTGACTTAATAATGCACCACACGTGCTGTAGTGTATTACAAATGTCAGTTAAATGTCCTTTTTCAGTTCTCTTCCTCTAATAAAAGGAAAGTCATAATTTTTATGACTTTCCTTTTTATGACTCATTTTAGGAGGCATTTGTTCATAATGTGACACCAATATAGGTGTGCTGCATGTGCAACAGATACCTTGATAATCACATGGCTGGATCACCATTTTATTTGCTAACTTAGAAAATAATAACTATCTTTGATGATTGCAGCATTATTGAAGCAGAGATTTTTTAACCATCCCATAGTAAAAATGTACTATCACTGAGAGAATGAAATTTTAAGCACTGCACTTTTGAATACATATTTTCTGTCAAGTATAGCATTATTTATTTATTTATTTATTTATTTTATATTTCCAAGTTTGTTTTGGGAAGGTTTGCATATTATGAAGTAATTTGTAGAGCATCTAGTTTTTCTTTCTTTTTCTTTTTTTTTTTTTTTAATTATATATGACTGGTCTCAAACTGGTGGCCTGTGAGCTGCATCCAGCCCCGAAATGCATTTCAATTACATATTTGTTATAAATATGATGCTTAGGAACAGATGCATGGATTAAACGTACACTGCTACTTAAAAAAAGCGGGATAAAATAAATGGGTTGGGACTTTGACACTGCAGTATGGGAAGAGAAATTCTCATGTCGGAAATATCAATAATTTATTTTGCCAGCTGACAGTTGGTTTCCCCCCCCAGTTCAGTTGGTACTTTTGATATATACTTTCCTCAGTGAGTACTTGGTTAGTCTATGTATGCGCAGTTGTGCAGTTCATATTGCTGTGCCAACAAAACCTGTTTATTTTTGCTTGTTATCAATGCCTATCACTCGGAATTTTTTTTTTCCCCTGCTTGCTGTTTTTAGATCATGCTTTTGGCCCACATGTAATTTGAGCTTGAGATCACTGTCATAAGTAACAGACTTTTAAGGTTAAAGAAAACACACTGGCAACCATTGTAGTATCAGAATTCTCTTTCTTAAAACGAACAAATGATGTGATTTAGCAATCTGAAACATTTTCTTTTCATTGTATTTACACATATTCCAAAATTTCCTCAAATGAGATTACATAAGTCAGAGATTAAAGGAACCTTATGTTGCTTGCCTATTCACCTGCCAATAATAGAATTCTGACAAATTACAAATATCTGTATCTCTCACCCTATGTGCTCTAAATCTCTGTAAAATCCTTTTTTTTATAAATTTTCAATAATTTTATTCTTTCTCTCACAGCTTATATAACTTAAGCACAGAGATACTACCATAATTTATTTATATTCTGTTTAGATATTTCCTCCCCTTCAGCTCTTTCTTTCTGTAGTTTTATTGCTTACATAATTGTAGCTTCTCGCAATTTTCTAAAGCACCCACCCATAAGTCATTTTGATGGAAGTTGATAGATAGTGAATTTAATGTGGTAAATTTCCTAAATTTATTTTTCTGGAAGCTGGTAGGTTTGTAGACTGCTTGTACTGATATGTTATCGTTCTTAGTGTTTTTACTTGTATGAATTGATTATGCATATATCTATCTATAATTTTGTTACTATCTAATGATGCATTTTGTTTTATGTTTCTTTTATCAGAAGTTGAAAGCCCTTTGAGCAAAAAATTAATATTGAAAGAATAAATGTAAAAAAAATGAATCTGTATGTATCTATCCATTTATGTAATATTTTATGTTGCAGGGACCAGATGAACTTTTTGAGAAAATATCTCAGGCTTTAGTGAATGCTTTTGATCGTGATGCTATTTCAGGTTGGGGTGGAGTAGTCCATATTATGTAAGTGACTTTTCATAATCCATCGTATTTTAAATATGGTTATTAAGATAAAATCTATATTTATATACACGGTAGCCCTTTATTTTTGCTATAGAAAAGAAACTGAAACTTGGTATAAATTAATGCAAAATCAGTAACATACATTCCTGATATCCAAGCATACCATAATACAACAAATATCCAATAATCCGACACATTTGAATATTATAACCATGCTGTATTATTGAACTAAAACTGTTTAATGTTTCAAAATGATTTTGTCACATTATTGAACATGCTGAAGAATGAAAAAGAATTGCATGGTTATTCTGGTAATTTACACTTTCATCAAAATTAAAAGATGATGAGAAAAAAAAATATGTTCACTATGTTGCAACCAATGACCAATACAATAATGATTTATGTTAATTAAATACAACTGAAGACAAAATTACACTTCCGCACATAAATTAGCACCAGAAATATGCAGATTCAGTGACTGATAATGCACTTGCCATGTTGAAATTATGGTCTGTAGTATTCTTTAAAGAGGATGTGTTTCCTGAGATTGGTCAGTTATGGCTCAAAGGGCATCATTTAAGTGAAGATCAAAAGTGGCAAATAATTTGTAGAATCAAGGGAGGTCAAACATAAATGGAGGTCGCCCAAGATTTGAATATTCCTCAAAGTGTCATATCAAGAGTTGAGAGCCACTATTAAAGCATTGCATCAGTTAATAGACAGCCTGGTCAAGGGCAACAACTGCATCAGAAGACTGTTTTCTGTTGTTGGCTCGAAGAAACCACAAAGCAAACTAGAGGTTTTGTTTTAGACCCTCATGGTGCCACAGGGAACTCAAATTGACCGTTCTGCTGCTGCATAAAGGCTTAACTAGGCTGAACTCTATGCGAGAAAACCAATGGTATCCCACTCTTTCCAGCTTGATGGGCTCATGTAAAATGGTGCCGTCATTATGTTCACTGGAACCAAGAACACTGGGCTTGAGTAATGATTATTGATGAGTCCAGATATAGTCTGAACAGTGATTCTAGATGTGTTTTGATCTGGAGAGAGGAAGAAACACGTAACTTGCCTTCCCTTGTCCATGAAATATCCCATTTTCACGATTGTGGTTTAATGGTTTAGGGAGGAATCATGACAGATCATGCAACCAGCTTCATATCTTTCAAGGAGGTTCTGTAACTGTTCAGAGATATGGGGGACAAGTTATTGAACCTGAAGTTGGACTATTTAAGACGCTATCACATGCACTATTTGCTGCTGAAACACGAATTCAAAAGAAACATTTCTCGTAGCTGCGATTCCACGAAACCAGGTTACCATATTCAATTGGTAAACAGGCTGAAAACCAAACAGGAATCAGTTATCACTCAGATTGGTGAAAGAGACGTTTGCATTCATGTCCCATGTATATACAAAATATATTTTGTAATTATTTTAATACTGTTGGCTCAATACTTTGGCAAAATGACATGTGTTTATTACATGAATTGTTACTTTTAAATTGTGCATTTTTTTAACCGATTCCTGTAATGATCTGTTGCATATGTTTTTGCAAATATACTTTTACATTGTACATTCAGTGATTTGTCATTATTTCTGGTTTTATTATTGTAAACAATATTTTTGTATCCATATATTTATTTAATAAATTCATGTACACAATATAATGTCATTTACTGATACAGTTCACTCTCGATTATCCGTGGAATTGGGTGGCGCGGCGGCCGCGGATAAAAAAAATCGCGGATAATCTGGAAAAGGCTTAAAACGGATATAGCAAAAGAGAAAACAGTCATTCCAACTTTGAAAAATTGTTTTATGTACAATAAAATGAAAATAAACAGCAGGAAATGTTTAACTAACGCTTAATATTTTAGTATATCACTCAAAACTAACCTAAAATGCATTTTGTTAATGAAAACTGAAAAGTGGTTAGTATACTTACGAGAGGCGTCAAGGATACACAGAAAAATTAATACATATGTACTGTTTTAATACTGTAATGTATTATGTAATTACAAATGCATAACTGTAAAACTACACCTTTTTGAAGAAATCAGTCATTTGTGTTTGTTTCTTGCTTTGGAAGCATTTTCTCTTGATTCGAGATTGCATTTTTCGTAGCATAAGTTTCTCGGCCAACTGTGCATCGTCTTGTTCTTCCAAATAGTTCAGCAGTCCGTTGACTTGTTGCAAAGCCCCTTCGTGAGTCTTCCGCATCTGCACAGGGGACTCTTCTTCGCCTTCACTTCGCTGACCTTCATTCTCAGTGTCTCCCCTTGCTTTCTTCACAATTTCATCATGTGTCAAGCTTTCGAAGTGAGGTTCATTGACGTCACACTCCAACAAATCGTTAATGTTTTCAGCATCGACGTTCTCACCATCCGGAACTGTTTTCACCATATCGGCAAGAATTGCTGTGGGCGTGTTTACATCTTCATTCTCTTCTTCAGAACTCAAAGAGGTTAGGTTGTTGTTGGCTTCTCCATGATTTTATGAGGGTTGACGTTTTCACGGAGTCCCATGCAGATGCAATATCGTAGATGCTGTCCAAGATTGGGTAGTGTTTCCAAAACTCTTTTGGATCATAACCTTCTTCAATTTTGGTCATTAGCAGCTTGGTTCAGTATGTTCTCTTCATTGTTGCAATGTCTCCTTGGTCCATGGGTTGGATTAGTGCAGTAACGTTTGGGGGGGAGAAACTTTGCAAAAATATGTCCATCAGAATACTTTAGCACACTTGTTGCTGGGTGAGAAGATGTGTTGTCGATCAATAGCACAGCTTTTTCAGGCAGGTTTTACGATTTAAGATGTTTACGCACTTGAAGAACAAAGATTTTTTTTCGAACCATTCTTGAAAAATGTTTCGGTTCATCCATCCTTATTTTTGGTTAAAGTAATCAACGGGCAAATTTTCTATCCTTGTGCCTTTGAAAGATCTCGGTTTTTTTTCTACTTTCCAATGACAACAAGTCTAAGTTTATGTCCATCGGTAGCATTACTGCAAGACATTATAGTGATCCATTCCTTGCTGCTTATATGACCCGCCGCTTTACTTTCACTTTCAAATGCCAAAGTGCGAGTGGGAAGACATTTCCACAAAAGTCCCGATTTGTCGGCATTGTAAATTTGTTCAAAAGATAGCTCTTCTTTTAAAACAAATTCTTCAAATTCATGATGGAAATCGTCGGCTGCTTGTTGGTTACCACTAAGTTTTTCCTCATTTCTCGAATTCCATGTCGCTGCTTAAAACGAGTCAACCAGCTAGAAGACGGCCTAACAACTCAAAAAAGATTTTTACCTTTGCCGACAATGATAGGACCGTTTACAGGAGTGCCCTCTTTTCGAACCTGAGCTAACCATTCTGTCAATGCAGTGTCTAGCTCATCGAAAGGTAGAACCCTTCATAGTTTTTCGCGTTTTCATTGCGGAAGCACTGTCTGACATTGATGCAAAGTTCACCAGTTTGTCTTCTTGCTTTAGAATGTCACGCACTGTTGTTTCGGGATTCCGTAATCCAATTCTATCTGCTGCTTTGTAGCGCCGTTTGCTACTTTGCTTTGGAAATTAATTCTAGTTTTTGCGCAATCACCAACATAACCTTCTTTCGTTTTCCTGACATTTTAAATCAGTAACGAAAAGCACAAGCACTGAACACAATAAAAGATAAGAAATTAACTCCGACTGGTTCGCAAACACTATCAGGCTTAAACTAGCAATGACAAGTGGGAGAAAGGTGGACGTGTCAGTAAGATTAAGACTAGAGAGGGTGGTGGAGCGGGCACTGCAAGGGTGAGTAAGAAATGACTTACTCATCAGAGGGGAAGGTTCCAAAAAGGCCTGGGATATTTTTGCCATAAATAAGCATGATGTTAGCAAATTGAACATCTCGCTTAGTTTTGTGAACATTTATTTATTTATTTATTTATTTTTTTTTTTTTTCTTGTAAAAAAAAGAAAAAAGAAACTTTGTGTGGCAGATGCGGATAATCGGGAGTCTACTGGATATGTTTTGTGATGAGTGAACAATATACATTTTATCCCCAAAATGTTAAATATTTCGTAAAGGCTACTCACTCAGTTTTTTTTTTTTTTTTTAAATTCCCAAGTAAATTACAAATGCAAAGGTTATGTGTAAAAATTTTAATGACTAGCTTAATGCACAAAATGCACTTCAATTATCTTTCCGGGGAGAGACATCTCAACTCAGTTATTTAGTTAGCTGTTGTTGATTCTAGTGAATTCACGGCAAGATTGGATTAGCTTTCTCTTTTCATTGCATTGTATTCTAACGTTTTTAGTAGTTTGGAGAATAACTGTTAATTATATTGCATGACATTGTGTACTTGTACGAATATCTCTGAGGAAAATTCCTGCATTCTGTTATATTTCTTTTGCTAAAAATAAATTTTATTAGCGTTTTATTGGACATGTGTATTCAGTCTATTACGAACCCCTACTCACGCAACAAAATAAATGTATACTTGAGTTTTAATAACGACTCCTTGTGTCGATTGAAATAGAAACATTTTGAAATATTTTTTTTCGAATAAAAGAGTTCATAAAATATTACATCAAAAACAACCTTTCCCTTTTTGGGATATGAGTTCCTTTATGATCAGTTTGTATACAAAAAAAAAAAAAAAAAAAAAAAAAAAAAATTCAGAAATTTTCGAATTGTTTACAAACATAACATTGATAAATATCATAAAAATAATGATAATATATTAAAATTATATTTAAGAAATAACATTAAATAAAACATCTTTATATTCTTGTTTCATATTTTAAAGTGACATTACTTTTCTGTTTGGTGGCTTAAAAATATTTTAATTCTGAAAAATAAAGAAGTTAATAAATACGATAAAGCAGAGTTTCTGAAACCTTAGCTAAAACTAAAAGTTGTTTTAAAAAATTTTAAAATCTGTTTCATTTGTCTTTTATACTTTTTCATGATATGAGTTTTCTCCAACATATATTAATTATTTCGGAATATTTAAATGTGTAACACTTTTGTGAATTTTCCCCTTCCCCAAAAGCGGGGTTTTTGCTCTTATTAGGTTGGTAGGAATAATTTTTCTTTAGGTTTTAGACCTTGCACATTGGAAGGTCTTTGAAGGCGAGATATATAGACATACAATTTTCAGAAAAATGTGACAAAATAATGATTGTCTTCATGGTATTAATATGTAATGGATGTATGAAAAATTTGTGATGAATTTCTTACGTTGTGGATAATTTTTAACAGTGAAATCAGAATTCTTTGAATTTTCTTTTAATACCAGAAGTCTTTCTCTTAACTTTCTTAACATAAACACAAGTATTAAAGTCAAAGAGAGCAAAGGAATTAAAAGATATTTTGGTGCCATTCATAGTTCTATTGCTTGGCGCTTCATTAAATTCTAAAAATTCTTCCACACATTGGCCCTGGTGCCAGCCTTGACCTTATATTATATCATATTTATTCCTAATACTTATGTTATTAAAGAATGTTTCTTATGTTTAGTAGTTTTTAGCTTATAATATCATTTGAAAATCTCTTTCTTATTATAACTGCTGTAAAATGGTCTTGATGCTTTTTAATTAATATTTTTTAGAAATTAAAAGTAACTCTAACCATGTAAATCCACTATAACTGCATAATTTAATTATATGTAACTAACTGCTTTCTCTTAGAAAATATCTCTACATGTTAAAGGTGAGTTGTTGCTGTTCATTAATCCGTATTGGGGTTGCAAGATACAACACAAAAATGTAAAAATTAGCATAAAACTTTATTCTTTACAGCTAATAAGACTTAAAATAATAGTATTAATAACAAAAACTATATTCTCTGGTGTTTCAGCAGCTTATTGGAACTCTGTATTAAATACTGTATATTAACTGGGTTACAAGACCAGCAAATCTACACAAAGCTATGACATTAACTGGGCCAGACAAAGTGCAGCTAACTTTCAACACTTACCAACTATAATCAGGCATTCATGTCTCTTCTGATCAGCAGTGTTCCATCTCTGAAGAAGCAGTCATGGTGGCAACAGTCAAGCATCTGTTAAGAATCATGCTGATTATTATTTTATTTCACAATTTAATTCATGCCACTACACATATAATTTATATAAACCTCTGGACTGAGCAAATACAGAATAAAACGGGGCATAAAAAGAAGAATCAGTAACAAAGGCTAACTGTTAATAAAATTTGAAGAAAAAGTCACTTACCTTCTTTAACCCTCTAAGTGGCATGAGGCATGACTAGCTTTAGAGATTTTTTTTTTTTTTTTTTTTTTTTTTTTGTTTTTTTTTTGTTACTTGATATATATAATAAATCAATAATATTATATAACTTAAGATATATATATATAACTTAAGGTATTTTGCTTGCTTACTTTCTTTAATAATATAAATGTAATCTTAATGATGTAAGTTTATGAAAATAGAAGCTAAAATAAGTAGTTATATAATTTTAGCTAATAAATGCTGCATAAATACAGGTCTTCATGACAGATCAAAAAAACCTGTGCTGCTCAGAGGGTTTAAAGTATATGGGATTATTATAAGCATAAAATATAAATATTTCAAGAAATTTAATAATTTAATGCTAATTGCATGAAAAAATTTATGAAGGTTTTTTTTTTTTTTTTTTTTTTTTTTTTTTTTTTTTATAATTTAGTTAAATATTAGATTATGTTTAACAATAATGCATCCTATTTACAGATTTTTTTATTCTTATAAATTACAAAAGTGAAATTCAGGCATAGATATTTTAGTTTATTTAGTTCCTATTTGCTTGATAGGTGCTTGATTTTTTTTATTGATGGTCCTTAATACAGAGATGTATAAGAACGCTGCATACCAAATTACAATTATTTAGGTTTTTAAAAAAGTATTATTTTACATACATAATTACAAACATGGCAGTGTTAAGTGTCCTCACCTTTCTGGTTCCAAAATATATTCTGAACTGGCACAAATCAAGGGCTACCTGTAAATATTTGACATACTGAAATTGTTATTTAAAACTCATATAATTTTATATTTTTTAGTGAGAAAGACAAGATCACAACAAAGCTTTTGAAAACAAGAATGGATTAGCTGTCAACAATGTATTGTTTTCTTCATATATTTAATAAACATTTTTATCTGCCTTTTTTAATTTATTAGAATATACATAATAGTCTTCTTAACAAAATTTGAATAAAATAAACACACTTTCTAGTTTCTTGCAGCAAGTAGATATTTAAGAATTTGTTGTCCCAGTTTAAAAGCTATTTTTCTCCTGAAACTGCTAAATGTTACATTCTTGAAATTTTGCTGTTAGACAGCTGAAAAGTTCCTGGAACTGCAAGTAAATCTGTTGTTGCTATTTTTATCTGTAGACCATAGATACTTTGTGATTAATTATGTCAGAGTTAGGCTGCATTTATCTCCACCCTCCCCCCAAAAAATGACTTTGAGCACTTAACTGTGTCAGTATGATAGTTCAATTCTATCCTAATTTTAAGAGCCCCTGGGAATGTAATCCAAGAACTCCTCTTTCTATACCGTCTTTGAAGAAAACTTTCAAATCAGGTGTCAAGTAATTCTTTATTTTCATTTCAAGTAAACATTTTTACCCATGGCAAAAAAATCAAGTGAGCCATATTATCAAAATATATAAGAAGACTAAATAAAGTAATTTAAAGGATACATTCATTATAAAACATCAGTGCAATATTATTTATGGAATAAAAATATTTGTTAAACAAAGCTCTAGGAAATCAAAATTGTGTTTGCTTTATCTAAGGTTTAATTATATAGGATCTGATAAGAAAAATTAATTGTCTTTAAAAAGGTCATTAAAACTGACTGAAAAAAAGTCACTCATGTTAAGAGATATGGCTAATAATTGTAATTTGAAAAAAATACAAGAAACATTTTCATTTGTAGATACTGACAAGTTCCATTGTATTCAGTTTTGTATGTTTGGAGGTTTAAAATGATAATAAACTATGTAAATGTTATAATATAATATAATAATATAATAAACACATAGGAAATTGGAACTAAGAAATTTGTTATTGATACAGGTTTGTATTTAAAACAGAAATAAATATGTAAATCTTTATACAACTCATGTGATAAAATGTATAATGTATTAACATTTAATGATTTTGTATAGGTACTGTATATATACTAATTAGTCCTGGTTCCAGCATTTTTGATATCGTAGCCTTGTAAGATTCTCACTAGTGTAATTCTCAGTTACTGTAGAAAGTGACGAATCTTAAGAACTAGTTAGCGTATAATCGCATAAGTTCGTGTGACAAGAAACAACAAGATGGAAGGGTAACCCTTTATTATTCAAATAAGATTTAACAAAACTCCATCTTGGAGTGTACAATAAAAGCCAACACTTGGGCTTGAACTTAAGAGACTAAAAATTAAACTAAAACTAGGATTAACTAAAGAAATATAGCCGAAGCTATCAAGTTTCTGGATTAGTTGGCCCCTTAACTCTATTTGACTATAAAGCTTATCAAGGGCCTGAATACGGCCGAGCGTAATAACAGCTTTGAGAGAGAGAGAGTGGCCTAAATGCAGACGCGCGTAAATCAGAAACTCCGATTCTCTCTCGCTAAGAGCAAAGAACTTCGCGGTTAAATACCGCTCTTCCTCATTATGTATTCAGACATGATTCTAAAACTACTTTCTGGCCGGAAGTAGTAAGTTGAAGTTAAGAATTTGACAGGAAAGGAACTTAAAATTTAACTGTTAATAAAATTAACATAATTCTTACAGGCTCTTAGTAGTTATTGCCTGCTATAAATTAAACACATTCATAAATTCATAGCTAACTCCATGTTGGCTATGCTTAGAGCTGGCATTGATATCTAACCATGTTACGAAATCAGAAGCATGTAAATTGCCTTCAATGATTATGCCAATAAAATTGCTTTAAAGTACCAGTAAATTACACTAGTGCCTATGAAGTAACATATTTCAAGACAGTAACCACAGATCATAAAACCATGAATAATAGCAAAATGTTTTATGTAATATGTACACATATAGTTTAAGTGATAAATTAAGCCTAATAAGACAAAGTAATTATTAAGTGTTCTGTACAATACAGTACAATGTAGTGCACTTTCTCTGTATTTATGAAGTAAGCATCTGATTTTTATTCTGATCCTCACCAAAAAGCAGTGTAATGAAAGTATGTATATAGTATGCTCTTCCTCAAGAAATTACAAAAAAATATGGATCATGCTTTTCCATTGCAGCAATGAAACACTTATCAAAATCATGCATGCATATTTTTGGGCCAGGAAAGATACTACCAGGTGCTGTGTTTTCATCATGTTGTAGTCTTTTTTTTTTTTTTTTTTCCGTAGTAGAAGTTTTGAAAGTTGCGAACTGTTTATTTTCAAAATTCTTGGATGCTATGATAAAGTGCAGATATTGAATAAATGAATATGGGTATACATTATTTTAGTATCCATTTTTCAAAGCTTATTAAATTTTCTGCTGTTAATAACACTTCAGATACAAACATCAAGGAATCGTACGAAATTTAATTTTTACTAACATTAAGAGTAACATAAGTTTAGAATTGTATAACCACTGAATTTAAATATATTTTAAAAATTCTATTTAATTGAAGGTTTCTGAATTAATGAGAAAATATTCACATATTTATAAAATATATTCTTTTGTTCTAGTTGCATTTCACAGTGAAAATTCAAAAATAGCATGGAAAACTAAAACTATACAAAGGGCTTCAGCATGTGGTTTCTTTCCTAAAGAATAAATTATAATTTTCATCCCATACTATGCAGAAATAAGATGTTTTGTTTTCAGGTGATCATATAAGCCATTATTTGCATGAGGATGCATGAAATACCCTTTTCCCTCAGTTTCCTTAAGTAATTTCAAAAAATTTCTTTCATTCATTATTTTTTTAGAGGGAGATATTTGACATGTTATATTCACCCCCCCCTAAATAAGTCTAGTTCATTAGAAGGCAAATAAGCAACATTTTGAAGTATGCCAGAGTGTTGATTAGAGAGCCATGCCAAGGGTGGGTTAATCATTACAAGTAAAAAATATGAGAGAGAGGGCAGAATTTATATAATAAACTAAATAGTATATATAAGTACTACGAAGTATTTAGAGGATATATATAACTGTGTCAGTGATGCTAAAATTCTGCACAGAATTAAATGAGTTTCATGAGTATACTCTCACTAATCAGTACCACTTCTGTAGACTAGAAGATACATTAGTATCATAAATCAGGGATGTGACCATTAAAAATATGGCCAGTACTACTTTCAATAACTATCTCTTAAATTTAAAAAGTTATAAGGTATTTCTCCCGCTTACCAGCGTGCCTTCGTAATGTAATGGTAGCACGTTGGGCCGGTATTCCAGAGGTCCGTGGTTCGATTCCCGGGCAAAGGCATTGCTAATTTTTCCTCTCTAAAAAATACCTAATGTCTCTACAAAGTAAATAATTATTATTAGATGCCACCAAACTTTGTCTCTACAAAGTAAATAATTATTATTAGACCAAATCCAATCTATTAGATGTTATAGCAATATAGGTTGGATTTGGTCATTATTATATATGTTCTGTTTGTGGTTATATTAAATTCTGTTTGTGGCTTTAACATATTTTTGTAAGGCTTGTGATCCTCAGCGCATACTGTGCAGCCAAGAAATTGCAAAAGTAATCCCAGCCATACCAGATGATAATACCTGAACTTTCTGTCATCCATGCAGCATTCCTTAAAAACATCTTATATTACTGTTTTAAAAAGATGAAAAATTAGGACACTTTGAAAATGCTTTTTGTTACATCAGGGTCACTGTGGTCTTGATATCTGGAATTATGAATTTTTTGCTTTTAAAATCTAGAATTTCCTGATTTATAAATGTAGACTGTAATCAATAAATTCAAAACATTTTTCAAATTTTGTTAGTCAAACTTCTTGCTTGAGCAGGGCACTTTTATGTCTGAAAGAGAGGAAGACAAAAAAATTTTAAAATTTTTGGGCCAAAGTATTCAGATTAAACGAATACAGAAATACCCAATATTGATTAAATAAAGTCATAACTTGCTTCTGTGGATCTGTGACTGGATGTTCATTTAACCGTTTGACTGCTACACGGCACAAAAGCACTGCGTTTATTTGTCTCGAAAACCGTGTCGCAGTTAGTTATGTTAGAATGCATTCGTGTTACAAAGTTCGCGTAAGGTCAGACTACGTATGTTCACACCCACAGAGCAACAAAGACACACTGAAACTCGCGTAGCAGTCGAATGGTTAACTATATGGGTGATATTATGCAAAGGGGGACGTCTGTCCCTGGGTACAGCATCCAGGGGCTGCCAAGCTGTTGTGAATATTTAAAATTAAATGTTTTCCGTTCTTGGTAAACAGGAGGGAGTGCAAAATTTTCAATTGACCCCAGGTGCTGAAAATCCTAGCTACAGCTCTGATATTATATCAGAATGAAGAATTTCTTTGAACAATACTAGCTTAGATGCTGCACAGACTGAAATATTACTTATTCTAATTATGCAAAACTATATATGAAGCTTTTGGGTTTGAAAATACCTCTGATGACTACTGGTGAAAGTTTTAGGGACAATTTGTATTGCATAGCAGGACAGCTTACATAAATTCTTTACATTCCATTAACTATTCTGTTTTTATAACTGTTCCTCATCTCCAGCACCTCTTGATATACATATTGCAAAAATGTAATATTTTAAAAGTTAAGTGAAAATCCATTGTCTACATAAAATGTCTTGTGATCATTTTGAATTTTCAGCAAAAAAAAAAGGTCATATTTCTCAGAAATTAACTACCCCAAAAGAGGCAAGCTTTCTTAAAAAACATTGAGAATCCAAACAGATGGGAAACCACCTGCTGATGTAACAAAACAAATTAATTTTGAAATATAAACATATTTTTTATAATTCTACATTTTGTTTTGCTAGTGAAATAGTTTGGAAATATGTGTTTCACAATACTATTCAGAATGATTTGGAATCATGTCAGATTTTTACTGCACAATATATTTCAGGATTTTTTAAATGGGCTTGCAATCACCTTTGATACATGCATCTCATTGCTAAGGTGAAATTAAAATGTAATATTAATTCATT